AGATAAGGATATATTAAATTAATGTTGACCCTATACATCTAGAGGAGAAGAAAAAAAAATAGCCTAAGTCGATGCTCTTCCCTCAAAATAATGATTTGTGGAAGACACTGTATTTTATTTAAAGAAATATTAACAAAGATGACTTGATGCAATCTTGGTAGGTGTGTGCCTGCAGTCATGTCCTTCAACTATCTTGGCTGTACCTAGACCACTGCTTGGGACCCAGATCTCCATATTGACACTGATCTTTCCAGCTTCCAACCACCTCAGAAAGTTACTGAGCTGCCTCCTATCTGAAAGGGTGTAAAGGGGACTGCCTTTTGGTTACTTTTATCTCTTGAGAGATCCTGTGAGGGGCCCTTAGCTCTGGAATTTATTCCCCTCTTTGCTCAAAAACAGCCTCCAATAATCTTTGCCCTTCTGGGTAAGCTGCAAGACCCAAATCAAAGGATTTGTTTTGGGAGAGACATAGAAAGGTTGGCATTTGTCAGTGCTGCAGGAAAGCTTGTTGTCAATAGCTGATTTAGTCTTTGGTTTATCATTTTCTCATGTCGTGGCAGTTATCCTGTACAGCAACGTAAACTTAACCACAGAGGTTCAGGCTTTGTTAAATGGTCATAAATTCGGGGGGGTGAGGGCAGATGCATTTAAATCAATGAGTGTGTGAATGGTTTTCTGTTAGTGAACAAACTGACTTAGCAAACAAGTCCATCATAAGTCACTTTTGCTAAAGTGATCCTTCTAGCCTTGCAAATCACACAAATTCCGCATGTGTCTCTGGGGCACTAACAACATATACAAGTTAAAGAGTGTTGTTGGGACTGCTGATAAAGTAACAAATAACATTTTACTTAACTGAGCATACCTACTATGTTGTCCTGCCTGTGCCGCAACTGAAAGGTGAGCTGTAAACACCTGTTAAAACAGCAATTTTATGTCCTTCTACCACAGTTCTCTTGTCTGTCACCTTTTAAATATTTTAATCTGAGTTCTTTAAAAGCTGTCTCCACTGCTTTTACTCTTTGGCTGTAAACAGATTTGTTAAATATTTTATTTCTAACCCACCCACGAAGTTACATTCATTTACATAACTTAATGAAGGTTGCATTATTCATTGAACTTCTCATATAACATTTTTCATAAGACATTATTAAACAAGTGAAGCAAGCCAGTCTAGTAATGAGTCTTCTCTAAACTTGCTGCCAGTTATGTTTCCTTTCTCCTAATCTATCACTCTAATGGTTGCAACTAATAAACTCTTCAAATCTTTGCTGCTAATCTGTATATGTTTTGCATTGCATGCTGGATGTATAACTTGACAGAGAATTTACAATACAAACCACCTGGCAAACAAAACTATCTGGATTAACAAATGCTATCCGAACCTACCCATTCTATTTCTTTGCTGTAACAGAGAAGACAACTACATGTAATGTAGTACCTTTAAGCCAGAAATAAAGTACCTAATTTGGGGCTGGAACGTACCATACTGAACAATATGTCCCAAACAAGATTTGTGGCTGCGTTTTATAACTTCAAACATTGCCAGAAGTCAGTAGGTTGAAGACTGGTTTACATGAATGCTCAGCAGAGACACAGCCTTGTATAGGATCTTATAGTCTTGCATGGGATCCTGCTAGACTGTTCTGGGAAAGATGGTACATAATAATTTTAAGGCAAAGAATTTCTGCAATAGGTTGCTTTCACTAGGGCTACTTAATCTGCATTTGAGACTAAATCAAAAGTAGCTAGGTTTTCAGGGAGCCTAAGCAGTGCAGCTCCCTTTGAGACAGGTAGCAATTTTTTATAATTTATACCTCATAAAAAATCAATTTTAATGCTTAAAAAAAAAGATGGATTAGAGGTCAAATTTTATTCACATTATTTTTGCGTGTGTTTTATGCACATTAGGACATTTTTTTTTAATCATCATCCACCCTGAACACCTCTGCCGATATGGGGAATAAACAAAACACAGCACTATTCTGTTCTCAAAGATGACTAGATACAGATTTGTAAAAACAGTTTTTAAAACTTCCTATAGCACTTAGAAAAGCATCAGCTGAACATCAACAATGGACTATTTTACATATTATCAAGTACTTTTCTTGGTATGTCTTCAAAGATTATTCTAAGACACTGAGTCAAATAAAAGAATATCTAAAGATAGTTTAAAATGGGATAGAAAGAAAGACAACTTTTTTGTAAGTCTCTCAACTTTTAAGGTCTAGGAAAAGACTCCTGTAGTAAAGATTTTTAAAAATCAAATAAAATGTCAGAAAAGTAAGTGCAAAACCTTAAGCATACAAGGCTCCAAATTATACTGTCCCTTCAATAGGTACTTTTATGAAGCAAAAGCAAAGTATCCTTTCCCAGCTCAACTGCTGAAAGCAACATGAAAGTAACATGTCCTCGTTTCACTGTGACAAAATAAATGATCAAATTTTTAAATATTTTTTTATTATTATTATTTCAACTGAATCTTCAGCATTCATTTGCACTTTTTTTTTTTTTACTCATACAATAATTACCAAAATAATAATTACCTGTTCTCCCCATATCTGAAAATACTATTACCTTTCAATCAAGAATTGATTTATCAAGTAGCATTAATCAATGTCAATTTACACCAATGCCATTCTTTAATAACATCTTTATTCAAGAATGGCTATAACTGTGTCTTGTTAAGAACCACACATTTCGCATCACGTAGACACTTCAGACATTTTAAGCACCAGAGATGCTGCTGGCTTGTAGGAGCTGTTATTCATATCAGTTTAAGAGAAGTGTGGGTTCCAGTAACTCACCTTACCTTCAGAAAAGAGCCAACATGCTACATACAAATCATGGCTTTTTGCTGTAGGACCAAAGCATAGCACCTGCTGAACTATATGCATTGTTTTTGGAGAGAGATCTAGTTAAAATTTTTCTTTTAAATGACCGGCTAACTAAGAGGAGGAAGATGAAATACCCCAAGAAGGCCCAATTACAAGAGTGGAATGAGCACTCGTCACCAAATCCAGCCTTTTAATGTGTTTCAGCATGTGAGCCTTGGGGCACCAGTCTCTTACCACAACACATGGTGCCACTTGCAAGAGGAAAGCTAGAGCCTGGCTCTAGGAACTACCTGCCAGCAGAAGAGCAGGCTGAAATGCTGCATACTCTTCCTCCCTCCATCTCTGCTGCAGCTCTCCAGCACAAACAACATTCACACAGGAAGCTGGAGTGAGAACCTGGTCTGCCAGATAAGCAATTGGGGTTTTGGCAGATCATTTTTCAGCAAGATCAGTCCTGGATGCAGCATAACATGAGCAATAGGAGCTAGGGATGCAGGATCCAGTCAACCCTTAAACAGCAGCCACAGCTACAACGTGTGTCCACACCAGCCACTGCTGAGCAGGCAAAGCTACAGTCATACCAGAGCTCACCTGAAACTGGTCTGCAGCCAGCATCTAAGCTGTCAAGATACAGCTGCAAAGAGGAGATTAGCAGGGGTTGTAAAACCTGCTCAAGAAGTTGGGCAAATATTTTAGCAATTAACCCACACTGAGCTCCATATTACTGCAGCTACTCTGCTACCATTTCTTGGGATAGCTTATTTAAACCTAGCTCAAAGATGCCTAAATCACACAGCATTGACAGACCATTTAGCTACAGAGATAAATTATACAGGGGCAGTGCCTAACATAGGTTATGTTGTCATGATTTACAACAGCTGAGGATGTGCCCCCAGATGTCCAGACAAAATCAAATTAAGTATATGATTTTTTTTTCTACAAACATAAAAGTCTTGCAAACTTCACTCAAAAATTAAAAATTAAATGCATGTATGACCTTTATACTGTGAAAGAATCTCCATATTGTCCATGCAGCACTTACAAACAAAATATAAACTAAAATAATATGAAGACCATGCAAAAAGTTCCCAAATATGAAAGACTCCAGTTACAAATAAAACATTTAAAGAATATCAACATCCATCTGAATGTGCAGAATATTGTAATGCTAAAGAAATCCTTAATTTTGACCTTAGGATAACATAACGAAAAAGTAACTGTTTTCCAGAAGCAAATGAATAATTAAAGTAGTATATATGGTGCTGTAAGTGTTTGTGAGACGGAATTACATTGGTTTATTTTGTAGATGTTTATAGAGCCAGCCTATGTTGTTTGACTTTTGAAGGAAGACTAATAGGTGTAGTAATGGGGAGGGGGGGGCGGGAAAGAGCACAAAAAACCTTATGGTTAAGCCAAAACAGGGGTCATGCCTAGGGCATTTTATCTGCCCTGCTTACACACCCCCGGGGAACAGCATCTCAAGGGTTGATTCCCTGTTAATCAATTCACATTAGTGACCGCCTTTTAGTTTTCACTTTGTTGAATTCCAGGAAAGAAGTTCTTAAACCAAATGCATGCTCTATCTTTGACCTAGTCAGAGCTCTGGCATCAAAAAAAAAAAAAAACTCTGCAGGTTTTATTTGCTCTACCAGCTGATAAGAGACACCTCATAAGTAAAGATTCATAGCCAGCAGATGCAACACAGAACAAGATCCAGTGGCCTGTTTACACAGTTCAGCAGTAATACAGGAGGAGAGGACATGTATGCAGTTTTTTTCCCCCAACCTATTTTCTCTAGCTACAGAGATTCAGGTTTTATGCTATTATTCTTCCCCCCTTTACTTTCTTATTTACAATGGCTCAAGAAGGTGTGCTTGTTATGAGGACCTGTAATGTTTGCCATCACTCCATACTCTGTTTTCAGTGACAGTGCAGGTTTTTGCACTGCTCTTGCCACTTACAGCTAAAACTTAAAATAATTTGCTGTCCATAAGTGAAAACCACGTTGGGGGTGGGAGATAGGGAAAAGTTATAAGCATAGAAATAGCAAATAGCTCGCTCACAAAAGCAGATCTGACTTTACATCTAAAACCTTTAAACCCATTGGTCTAAAGAAAGTAGCTTACACTACTCTAGCATACATGCAGATCATCATACAGAAAATCATAAAAAATAAACTTTATTATCAAACTTAAAATTCACATATTAAACATAAGATCTAGACACACATAATACTGAAAACATTCTCAAACAACAACCATTTTAGGTAATTCGGATGAGTAGCTAGTTACCATTATTTCAAATGCCTTTAAGAATATTTCTTAATACATACACCATCATGAAATGTCTTCAAATGCTTAGTTGGCCAGCTTTCAAATAGGATTTTTAAATAGGGGAAAACTTATTTCTATAGAAATAACATTATCTAATTATGAATCAGAGACCCATAATTGTAGTGCTTGGGGAAAAAATATCATAGCCTTCTGAAATATTTAGAAGACATAAATAACTATTGTACATTTACAAGTTTAAATATTTAAAGGCCCTTTTTACTATAAAAAGTTACTATGTACGTATTAGATGCTATATAGAAATCCAGCCGGAGGCAAACGTTGAGATCTCAGATTTGGCCGCTGAAACCTATGAATTTGGTAGGCAGATTGTCCACAGGGTACACTATAGGCCCTGTTTTCATTGTAGGAGGTCCGTTCAGCAGCTGCCAGTCACAGCTCCGAGCCAACTCCACTGTAAATATTTTTAGAAGCACTTTTGCAAACTCTTTGCCCACGCAGCTCCTCAAGCCCCCGCCAAAAGGAATGAAACTGAACCTAGAGGAATCCTCTGGAGATGGAGACATGAAGCGATCGGGGTTAAATTCATCCTTGTTGGTAAAGAGATCTGCCACATCATGCGTATCACAGATACTGTAAATAACATTCCAACCTTTAGGGATCTGATAACCCTATCAAAAGAAGAGAAAGAAGACATGAAGCACCTTGCTGTGTTAAATAAGGTGAAGCGTCAGCACAGGGCACAACCAGGGCACCCCACTTCCGCTCCTGGCTTCCTGCAGGTCACTCTAAGGCAGATAGGCAACACGAATGCACTAGGACTTTGCAGCTGCTCTAAGGAGTTGAGCCCAAGCTTACATTTAGTTCAAGGGTCTTGAGCGCGATTCGAAATCCTCCGGGAACAGGCGGGCTCAGCCTGAGGGTCTCTTTGATGACACAGCCCGTGTACTTCAGCTGCTCCAAGACCTCCATGTCCAGCTGCTTCTCTTGGTTGGGACTGCACAGTAACCCCTAGAAAGGAAGATATTGCCATGACATTTATAGAGCAGGCAGACAGGGCTCCTGGCACTGCAAAACAGGCACCGCTCAGCAAATGGTGTTTTCCTGCCACCCCCTAAGAGTAAAGCAGCACCTGGATCAACAGGAGCTCTGTCTGGATCACCTCTTCTTATCTCTTGGAGAGACACATACCTTTGCCTGCAGCTCTTTCCTCACTTTCTGCAGGACATCGTGGTGGAGCCCTAGGAAGGCAATCAGCGATGTGGCAGCACTAGCAGTGGTTTCATGGCCCCCAAACAGCAGCTCTGTGGCAGATTCCTTTAGCTCCTTAGACAGAAGACAGACAGGAATAAAACAGACCTTGAGCACAGTAACTCCACCAAGCTCACTCCACCACCACAACACTGTGCACTGCTCCCAGACAGGAGCAGACACCCAGGGGCCAGGGCAGGGGTGGTGCTTATGCTCCCTGTGGACATGGCTCCCTGTCCAACAGCCTGGCTGCAGCCTCTGCACCCCAGCACAATACACAAGCCGTTTTATTTCATGGGGAGAAGCAGCACCTCCTGCTTTGTCCTTTTGGCTCCAAAAGGTAAGTGTGCTGCTGACAGAGAGGTTGGGGGAGAGGGATGGATCTGGCCTTAAGGAACCTCACCTGCATGTTGAGCTGCTCCCCGTTGCCCTGGGTGTGCTCCATCAGCAACTGCAGCGCATCCTTGTAGCCACCCTCAGGCTCCTTGCGGGCCATCTTGGCACGGATGTTCTCCTCAATCTTGGCGTGGATGATATTGCGTGCCCGCAAGCCCTAACCAAGCAGCAGGGAGAGAGCAACGTGGGACTTAGATGGTACTGCCATGCCTCCTGTCCATTCCCTGCTGTCCCAGCTGCAGGAGCACCCCTCTCCTCCCAGCCCACCGGGAGCCTTACCCGGTAGAGCCCGCTGAAAGGCACATCGATGGGGAGGGAGAAAAGATTGCGGATCATCTCCTCAAAGGCTTCCACCAACTGCTGCTCGCCGTCGGGGCTGGCCTGGCGGGGCTGGAAGCCCAGCAGGATCCTCATGGCAATGCGAAACATGAGGCGCTTCACCTCGGGGTACACCAGCAGGCAGGGCCCGGCGGCTCCCAGCCACCTCGCCAGGCAGGCGCTCACCTCCTCCTGGATGACGGGCACGTAGTGCTGCAGGGCGTCTCGAGAGAAGGCCCGCATGATCACCTGCCCCGGGGGACGAGGAGGAGGAAAGGAGGAAGAGGACATAACCTCAGCTGGCGAAACATGAGGCGCTTCACCTCGGGGTACACCAGCAGGCAGGGCCCGGCGGCTCCCAGCCACCTCGCCAGGCAGGCGCTCACCTCCTCCTGGATGACGGGCACGTAGTGCTGCAGGGCGTCTCGAGAGAAGGCCCGCATGATCACCTGCCCCGGGGGACGAGGAGGAGGAAAGGAGGAAGAGGACATAACCTCAGCTGCTAAGGCGGGCCACTGCACGGAGACGAGCCGGTGCTCGCCCAGCAGGATGTGCCGCACGTTTTCGGCGCCCATCACCCGCACGGTGGGCCGCCCGAAGAGGTGAGTCTTGTAGATGAAGCCGTATTTCCTCCGCTTCATCTGCAGGAATTTCCGTCTCTGGACAGGGGATGAGAAAGGGGAAATAGTGAAGAAAAACTAAAAGAAAGGAGGAAAGCAGCTACTTTTCCCACCTGGGCAAGGGAGCCCGACGAAGCTGCTGCTCATCCCCCTCCCCTGCAGACAGAGGAGGAGTCGGGGCGCTTCTCTGCTCCCCGCGGCATACCTGCAGTACCATCTGCAGCGTCTCCCCAAAGAAAGGGAGACCCATAGTGCCCGGGGGCAGCGGGAGCGGGCAGCTGGGGTCGCGACCGCTCACGCAGTACAGGTCCCAGAGCTTGACGGCGGCCAGAAACAGCAGCAACGGCAGCAGGAAGGTGCACAGGGCGCTGGCGATCAGGGCGGAGAAGCCCATGGCTGGGGA